TTTTTTGCCATTAAATGTCATGTAAACTAACAGAAGTCAAGCTTGGGGTGAGGTCTTCTGCTCCTTGCTGTACCTGCTAATAAAAACCAGGTGCCTGGAGCCCGAGGCAGGTCGAGGCTCGCAGCTTCCCAACTCGGACAAGGAGAAGGTCCCTTCCGTCTGACACAGCTTTGCCATGCTGGGAAACCCTGAAGGACTCCTGGGCTGCTGCAGCTAGAGCAGACAGGAGGACACCCAAGACGCGTCCAGTCCCAGCCGACATGTCCCCTCGTCCGAAACAGGAGGTGCAAGTGCGTGACTCATGCCGGCTCCTCTTGCTGAGGAGGACATGGGGGCGCCTGTGGGACAGGGGCCTGTGGGGCTTTCATGTTTATGTTTAGCTAGGATTATCCTGCCTGTTTTTATTTGAAACATACTCATATTTCTAGATGAGCCAGTTTTGTCCTTAAAGTGTGAAGTTAGAGTCGTCTTCTTAGTCTGAATCAGAGCAGTGTTGAAACCTGGTTACAGTCGTAGGTATATACACAGTCGATTTGTTGAATTTGCTTAAAAGTCTATATTCATTTCAAAGCTGTGTTTTTAAGGTGGTATTATTTTTGTCCTGCTGTGTTCTGTGAAGTTTGGTAAAACTTGGAGAAAGCTGTAAATGTTTTAAGCCATTTACTCGTGAATGTGAGAGCCATCCAGACGGAGGTGGTGAGACTGTGTACAGTGCCCCACGGTCCGGCTCCCAGGCTGCAGCCATGCAGTCCCCTCCGAGGCTGGCCCCAGGATGAGCCGTGCCCATGCCTGGTCCATGTCGGGCCGCCTTGCTCGCCCTGCTGTCCCGTGAGCCGTGTGTGCCACCTGCTTCCTGAGGCAGTGGCTGCGTGTGCTCGCGTCCGGAGCTGAGCTCTGCGTGCCATTCCCAGTCCTCTCTACTTGGCGTCGTGCAGAAGCAGGACGCACAGTCCCTTCTGGACCCTGGCTCTGTGGCCAGTAAGCATGGGAACCGAGCTGCACGGGCCACCGCCCCGTCGGCCCACCGAAGGCTGAGCGGCACGGAGGTGCGTGGGTCGGGGTGGACAGCGGCTCGTGCGGTTGTGGCCATGGTGGGGGCAGGCGGCCTGGTCTCAGGGAGCGGGCTGGAGGGGAGGAACGCAAGCGCATGGCGAAATGAGAGGGCCCTCGGCACAGTCTGTCCTCGGCGCTCTGGTCCCAGTGCAGTGCGGCCCTACGGGCTCAGCGCCCAGAACGGCTCTGCGGGCCGCGCTGCGCTCACGGCGGAACCGGGGTGCTGCTTCCTGAAATCGGACCCGGGCTGCCCTGGGCAGGGCTGGGGCCTGCAGATGGCTGACTTGGAGGTTGGGGGCCCCGGGCCTGGTCAGGGACGCCCCGAGTCTGGCTGCCTCAGCACCGTGTCGAGGATGACTTTGTAGCAACTCCAGGGGCTGCGGCTGGCTGGCAGGAGGGCAGGTGCGTCGAGGTGTCTTCTCTGTCCTCTTCAGTGATCGGCGTTTGGTAACTTAACAGTTGTCACTCAAGATAAGTTAACAGGAAATTTCAAGACTGTGAAGTTTGGCTACATCCACAGTCAATGAAAGCATAAGCCCATGTTTTTCTTGTGTCAGGTGTTGAAGGAAAGTGGACGTGCTCGGTTAGTATCTTTTCCTAGAATACACATGATCTTGTGGATTTAAAAGAAATTTTTATGTGTAAATGTAGTACTTAAATTGCTATTAATTTTGAAAATATGTTTAGATTAAAATACTTTTTTTTTTTTAAGCCCACAGCACCCTGGTCTTCCTAGGTGGTCTCCCATCCAAGTACTAACCAGGCCCGACCCCTCCTTAGC